GAATCTTTAGGAAAGAATATATTATTCTTAGTATTTTGCTAGAAAAATTGGAAACGGGCAGTGCTTTGAGCTTGAAAGTCAATGTTTCCAGATCACCTTTAATCTTCAACACAGCCTGAACTCTTATAGAGAAGCTGTCCTGTAATTTCTTTAAGTCATCTTCAGAAATGGTTCTTTAGGCTTCTTGAGGGACATTCAAAGCTCTTCTTCTTCTTGGATGTTTGCTGCCTTTTGTTCTGTTCTCTGCCAAGATGATCCTCCATACAGTCTGTAGAGATGATGATTTGAACCAAAATTGTACTAACACATAAAAATATAATGACTTTTGCACAGCTGTTACCAAAATGCTCTGACATATGTTCGTCTTCAGTCTGCAGATGTGTGTGAGCAGATCCTTCGGGTGGTGTCTCGATCCAGTCGACTGGAGGAGTTGGTCCTGGACAATGCAGGACTCAAAACGTAAGAAAATACAAAATGTTAAAGGTGCACTCAAGAAATTTTTAAATGTCAAAGTCAATTAAAAGGTAGCTAGGACAGTACACATATGTAATCATTAGCACACTTTCAAATCTCAGAACTCCAAGGTCGCTTAATAACAGATGAAAATGAGTTTAATGAATAGAAAATATAGGGAGAATTATGATGTGACTCTCTTATTTTGAAAGCTTTTTCTTTTTTTTGCTATTGAATGAACAAATTTTGAGGAAAACTATTTATTTTGAAAATCCAAGGTTTGCATCCAGAATGAATACAGCTAAAAATGCTAACTCACATTATGGGAGGTGATTTACCCTTTTCAACGTACCCTTTTAATCTCTTAGTCAAAAGTGTCTGTGCTATATGGAAGTGCAATATTAAATCTGTGGAGTGACCTTTTATATTGACAGGTCGGACATTACTTGGGTCAGATTTATGATTTCGTGTAATTTAGTTTTATACCTGCTTGATATAATAGTAATAAAGCCCATTTTTAATGAGTGTCACAGCAAGAGAAAACTGTTAATGTGTTTGAAGCATTGTCATACACAGACTCAGTATTTTCAGGGTCAAGCTATGGGATGACCGAGACCTACATACGGAAAACTGCAGCAACATTGCAGAGGGTACCGCGATGTTAATTTGATTTAGCTTCCGTCAGATCTGTGAAGGAAATGGCTGTGCATCACATTACTGGATCCAGTTTTGTTAATCTATTTAGTGTTGAAATGGGAGCTTTGCCAGGCTGTTCCAGTGTATTCGCTTCTTTAAAAATATTGGATAGCTTTTTTAGCAGTCCCAATCTAATATTTCAGTTCACTTTCTGTAAGCTTTTCTTTCCTGCTACTGTAAAAGCAACATCAAAGGTGCTGAAGCATTCTGAAGGTCTTTGTTTGGTGCTTACATTGTTTATAGACCTGTAATGAATACCTCCTTTCACAATCTACAGCGATTTTGCCCAGAAGCTAGCTGCTGCTCTGGCCCACAACCCCAGCTCAGGACTCACCACTATTAATCTTGCCAACAACCCACTGGAGGACAGAGGTATAGATGCTCAGATCTAGTTTAATGTATTTCTCTGTGATCTTCTTCTTTCTACTCTCTAAAAGCTGTGTTTCACCTCTGCTCTGTAATATTAAAATACAATTTTCACAGGTTACAAATGGTTACAGCATTCTTTTAAATATAGTAATATATCACGTAATTGCATTGGCTCTGTCACTGGAATCAGGAGGCGGGGAAGCTGTACAGTTAGAATGACTAGAAATGGCAAACAAATCCAAACAGATAGAAAACAAATAAAGCGACATGCAGGTAGAGTGAAAGGACAGCTCTATAGTACAAACACCACAGCCTGACACAGCCAGAGTTAGTGATCATACAGACGGTTTATGTTCCATTGTGATTGTGCAGTTAGTGCAGCATTTTAATATTTCATCAGCTCTGTCCTAAGGCCTCTCAGTCTATCCAGGACACATGAATTAAAGATGCATTCCACCAAATATTCATACAGATGCTTGTAAACATGCAACAGATGTCTGGGGCTCACCAGTCTCTAGTTTATTTGTCATCATGTAAAATTTATTACAAATATTTGGTGAATATGCCCTTCATAGGCATATATATGTATATAAATTTATCATTTCATTTTTGCCATACTATACCTTAAAATAAATAATAATATTAAAAATAAAAGGTGGCTCATTCTCATAACTGTAACTATATTGTCATATAAACTAAGCAGTTTTTTGTTTTGTTTTTTTATTGCCATGTGGTGTAATGCTTTCTTTTTCAGGTAACAAATACCCAAGCATTCATGGACAGTTAAGATAGACCTGTGTTGAATAAATT